GCTTAGCTTTCCCTTGTGTATTAGTTGTGCAATGGAAGAATTGATATTTTGTGTCTTTTAATATAGGCTTCTTGCTATAAATTGGTAATTTCCAATGCAGAGGTGTACACAGAAAGCGGACCAGATTTAAGTTGCAGTTTTTGCCAGAGTTTATATCTGTATTTATGTTTAAGCTCAATTTACCCAAGCAGTTTGCTTTGACATAATTATTTGAACTGCTAGTTTCTCCATATTGTGCGTTGTTATCTCAGGGCATTTTCATTTAATATTTCTTTAATTTTGTATCTTTCAGGGTCTTCTTTTCCTGCAATGCAGCAACGCCATTAAAAGAACCAGACCAGTAAATGTACACCATCCTTGTCGTGCATTTTCTTGTGTCACACAGGTGTATCAGTTTCTGCTACGAGTATACTCACAGGAAATGAAAGGCTATTGTAATGTAAATTGAAAAGACTGGCACCAAGGACACAACAAATATGTTGCTGGCAGTGGAGGGTACACATCAGTAAACCGTGACACTCATGTTCAAATCGACACCTGAAAAGTGCCCATTAAACATAAAGCGCATGCATACAATGCTTCGCAAATGGGAATGCCCTGTGAATTTATGCACGGCAGTAAATGTGTTAAACGCACGTTTAAGACTAGCCAAGCACAAATTTATTCCCTAGTCAAGGCATTGCAGACAAAATAAAACACTAACTGTTAAAGAATGTATACATGTATTTTATACCATACCTATTGCTGCTAGTTTGTTGTCCTTTACCCAAACACCTCTATCGGATGATTGTATGTTGGCGGCAACTCCAAATTCTTTGGATGTGTTAATAACTGTCTTTTCAAGCTGAGAAATGTACCATCGCACACTCTTATTGTAATGAGTCAAATTGATGATCGGATATGCAATTAACTGTCCAGGTCCATGGAATGTTATTAAACCACCACGATTTGTTCGATGAAAGTCAGCTCCTAATGCCTTGAGTCTTTGCTCCTCAGTGGCTGGGTAATCTGTATTCCTTACACCAACAGTGAATACTGGTTCATGTTCACATATCAGCAACATATCGCTCACTTGTGAGTGACCAGTTTGAGCTGAATAAAGCCTGTCCAATAAGCATCTCTTCAACAGTTTCTGTAGTTTCAAGGCCCTATGGTAAGCAATCCGACCAAGTACAACAAAGGAGACGGAATGATTAACGACCATGACTTCGCACTCCCTGCAAAAGAGCAAGAAGACAGAAAGCACATATAGTATAAATCTCTGTTTACTAGTATGTAAATGTACTTCTCAGAATGACATAGGCCTGCATTAACTGTTGTCTGTTCTGAAGATAATAAACAAGAATGGCAAAGATGCCATGGCTTGCTGCTTCATACACATCTAAATTTCTTCACAGCAAAAATAGCTCATGTTAAGAAACTTCGGCCCCCTACTCCTTATCCTTTCTATCTCCTCCTCTGGCACCTTCCCATGGCATTCCCTCATTATTAATTTGCTTCATTTGTTATTTTTTATTGACTCCAACACTTAATTACAGAGTGTGAAATTTTCTGATTTGTGGCTTCAGAGGATTTTTCTTTTCGGGAAAAAAGTCATAAATGAATAGAAAGTTAAGATGACTATGTTGGTAAAGATATGTCACAGTTTCCGGACAATATGTTTAGTTAAAGTTGCTGGCGACGGCTTAATATCCACTCCCATTTTTGAAGGACACCAATCACTCTGGGCTGAAAATGAGTGTGACTGGGTTAATACTGGACAAATGAGTGAGGCTTACAAGTTATGATTCTGATTGGAAAATACTAATTCATAAATATTCATGACAAAAACTGGTGTTCTTGGAAGAGTTTTAAAATTCGAAGTTTGTGAATGTGTATATCCAAAATCTATAATGCAACATTGTGTGCAAATGGCTTAATGGATTAAGAGCTGTACGTCAAAGTGGAAACAGATTAATTAATGTTTTGCAGGTTCACTTCTCCCATAGGGTTGGGCATAAAATTAATTTGCTCTTTTTTGTCATCCAAACTCACTTAATCTAATATTTAACAATGTAGCTACAAATACAGTACATTACTTGTAACGTGACTTCTAAGTTCTCTAGTTACAGCACTGCATAATTTCACTGCCAATCTATATAATTAAGTTTCAATTTCGTATTGGCAATGCCACTGATGAATGGCAGTTACTATGATTTTGAAAGTTTAGACACATTTCTGTCCACTTTCTTGCACCAGTCGATACATTGGAAACAGGAACCAGGCCAGTCTACAACAAATGGATCTTGAACTTAATTTCCCTTTTCACCAAGGTTATTTTAACAGTTGGATACAAATTTAAGGTTTGGACAGCTCAACCAGATATGATTTCAATTTCATCATCAAACATGAATGATTTATTTTTGGAATCACATGAGAAAATCACAATTTACCAATTCCTAGCCATCTTTGATTACACATGTATCCCAGCATCCTTTACTATGTTTACATGTGCATGTATTTAGTCTTTAGTTGAGTAATTATGTCAGCATGTTCATTGTTATGTAGTCCAAGTACACAGTCACGTCTGGTCTGTGACAGTATGAATCTACCCAAAGAGAAAAGAAAAACATGCAAAACAAGACAAATGTTGCGTTAAACACTGTGCTGTTTCGGGAAACTCTTTGGTTTGAAAAAAATTAAATAAGAACGGGCAGGAATCGAACAGCTCTCGTTAATTCTGCAGTTCAAATTTAACACTTACAATATATGCAGGGTCCAAACATGCATGGAATTCAGAAGATACAGTGCATTTAACATCACAGAACAGGCCAGCATAAAATTTGGGTCAGAGTGTGGCAATACACAATCAAATATTTTCCCTGCCACGTGCATGGCATTTTGCCAGATTCCCCCAAAAAAGTGGGGCTCTGTTACACGCTTTACATGTACAAAGCATACATGTACATGTATATAGCACTTAATACTGCCTCAGCTCTTGCCCATACGTGCTGTGTTGCTGGCACTGGTAGTGGAAGTCAGGGTTGATTTTATGAGGATTTTTGAAGATTTTGTATTTTAAGAGCTTACAATTTGACATCAGGTGATGGCATGACATCATTTTTTTAGTACATTGTTGCTGTCTAAGGATTTGCTTTGTGTAACTTTGATGAAGTTGCAAGATTACCATGTGGTCCAAAAGCACTGTCAAAAGCGTGAAAACCTATAGGAAAAAATTAAATATTAAAGATTTCACAATATATCAGTTGATGACGTCATGATTCACCATACATCTTCAGATGGTAGTCTATGTGCCAGGTTTGAAGGCCCTTCAATGAAGAGGATGAACCTCAAGAGGCAAAAGTCGTAGGTAGAACGACCCTGTGATATGTCAATAGGTAAAAACTGGAAAAAGAAAAACGAGCTAATGTCTTGCAACAGAACATAGGCCCTTTTCCCAATTCTAAGCTTTGAAATTAAAATTACCTTACCATGTCTGCACATTCCATAGGCCTATTAGATGAGACACAGAGATTTAAATGGTCACCCTTGATGTCCCCTGATTTGGAACTTGATGATATCATCATCACATGATATCAATTTTCGTCTATAACACATCCCCTTCCAGATACCTGCAAATTTTCAACCCAATTTGATGTGTACCTTAGGAAAAATAGGGCTTTAAAGGATGCACCTTTAATGTCATATGATTTCTCGATTGATGACGCCATGATCACAGGCGGTCAATATTCGTCTATAGCACTGCCCTTTCAAGACATCTGCAAAAATTTCAACCCAATGGGACATGTGCCTCAGGAAATATAGGGCTTTAAAGGATGCAACTTTAATGTCTCGTGACTTGTCAACTGATGACATCATCAAGACACGAGGATTAATATTCGTCTGTAACACATCTCCTTCTAGATATCTGCAAAGTTTCAACCTAGTGTAAAATGTACTTCAAGAGATGTAGGGCTTTGAAAGATGCACCTTAGATATCGCATGACTTGTGACCTGATGACGTCATTATCACATGAGGTAAATTTTCCCCTATGACTTCTCTTTTTCTATTTATCTGCAAAGATTCACCTGAATGGGATATGTACTTCAGGCTTTAAAGGATACACGTTTAATGTCACGTGACTTGTCACCTGATAACATCAGTATGACGATTTTGTTCTTGGACCCTCCCCAGATGGTGGACTAAGAATATGTTCCTGTATATAATGTAGTTAGTCAGATCAATAAAAATGCTGCAGCCTGCTGTAAAAAAACGTGTACAAAACACATGGGAAAAATGAAATATTCAAAATTTTATTTTAAAAAAAAATGGATGAACCATTTTTGAGATATTGGTCTATGAAACATTCCACCTGGCAAGCATGTCACGTGACTTCTCAAAATCCCCATTCTAAGTAAATGTTTGGGAAAAACACTTGGTTTGCTCAGGAGATATGTCGAAAACATTTTGAACTAATGAGCAGCAGTTTTTCGAAATATTTCTATTTTGCTCCATCCCCAATACCTGGCTACAAAAATTTAACGTCATGGCTGATACCGGAGTTTAAAATTGCCTTTTGCAGAAACAAACCCTCCTCGGTTGAAAAGTACAATGTCAGTAGGGAGTGTTCATTCTGGTTTTAGCGACGCGACCTAAACACATGCATTTGATAGTCGTTTGTGAACAAAGTAGTTTCCATCAAAGGAGGTTCCCTCAGTCTAGCTCTTGAACTGACCACGCCACACTGCCTTTACAATGCTTGCTTTCCTATCATCATTCTCAGTAGATTGTGGACCCACACTAGCTCCGAAGGAAAATGCATATGTAAACAAAAAGTGACTTGATCAGTACATACATGTAGCTATTTTCCCAAACTAAGTTATTACAATCAAATTATAAGTCACTAAATTTGCTTCAGGTTCTTACATTTTTATCACTAAGCAAGAGAAGAGGAAGCATTTGTCTTTGACAAGATTGCTCAGGTACTCAACAGAAATTTACATCATCAGAAAAAGTCATCACATTTAGAATAGGAAATAGGTACTTAAATCCTTTGGTTTATTTGTGTAAACCAGAAGACCCTACGTTTCAGACCAAGGGTACAATCAATTTTCTAAATATGAAAAAGAAGCAAAGGGGATTATGTTAAGAAACCGGCCTGCAAGCATTTAAATCTGCGTGTTGTGTCTTTAGCTCTTCAAATACTAGCTTGTAAATTGTGCACAAAAAGGCATTCCAAATCTGAGGTTTTCAAGCACATGGGTGCCTGCAAATTCGACACAATGGGACTTTCAATTAACGAGGACAATGATTTTACTTGTTATAAATCTATTCAGGTTGACCCCAATGATAATGGGCAATGGTTTCAACCATCTTTCTCAGCACATTCATCACTTCAGAGAAAAAGCTTAAAACATTTACATGTTTGGAGTAAAAATTGAGAGGTACATTCAAGATTTCTCTTTTGATTAGGATTGCTTTTGTGATCAAGTTGAACAAAACCAAAACTAAGTTCAATCACAACTTCAGGTCTGGAGTGTGTCTATCCTTCATACAGGCTTAGTAATTATTTATGTCACAAGTCTCTCAGCTTATCCAGTTGCTTGAGGCCAAAAGTTACTTTAAACAAGTTCCATATAAACTGATGCATAAGACAGCATGCTTGAAAAGTCATGTCACCTTTTGTTAAGGTCAATGTTTCTTAATGTTTATTTCTTATTATGGTATATGTACTCATGAAAAGCAAGACCTTAAGTGACCTCTCAGAATCACAGCTTAAAACTTAAAAGGTCAATATTTCTTGCAGCTTATTGTTTTTTCAACAGCGTACATTTAAACAGTACGTATGTGAATCAATGACCGAGTCAAACAAAGACTGCTCTTTTCAGTTGACCTTGTCACACCGTTATCAGAAGCATCTTCCATGCAGTTTGCTGGTCTTCCAGTTAGTCTGCTAGCACCAGCTGCAAACATGTGTACCACCTGAAAAGAAATGAAACCATTTTATCATTGTCTATTGTTTAATATTTCCTTGTGAAGATTTAAGGGGTAATTTTTGTTCTGTAGAGTAGCTTGTTTATCGCTGAAAGAACTTGGGTTGCATTGGTTTACATTTTTCAGAAAAATTGAAAATATCGCCGATAAAACAGAGCGAAATTTTTCTGGAGTCATTCATGCAAGTTTGGTAATGCTTGACAAATGCAAAGGACATCATGATCCAATGATGACATGTGTATGCGTACATATCATCAGTTGATCCTATGCACAGTCCATTGATCATGGGTGTCCTCACTAATCGATTACAATGTGCCTGAATCCTTACATGCTGAAAGTCGAAACATTTAACGCATACATTCCGACAGACATCTTACGTTTACTTACCTGAACAAGTCAAATCCATCGTCAAGTATAGATTGTGTGAGAAGTGAGCTGGTGCTCTTTTGCTTTAAAGGACAACTGCTTTTGTCAGTAGGGGGACCCCAGCATGTACACACATCGGGACTTGACTAATGCATGCTGCCCGAAAGTGTCTGCCTGATGTTTGACGAAGAGTGCCACAAGCTGTCAGCTGACAGGAAAAAAAAGTATGTTAGCAATATATGGAGGTAATACTGTAATATTCTTGCAAAGGTGAATCATGGGTTATTTTCTATTTGTTAGAGGGGCTCATTTACTATGTAAAGATTATTCCTGGGATTACACTGATTTTTTTTTTCTGAAACACTGAAAAAAATCTAAGACAAAACAAAATGGATGAGTTTTTTAATCACTCATTCAAGTTTGGTAATGCTTCACAAAAAACAAAAGACACTGATGTTAATCACAATCTGTCGATCTGTATGATCACTTGATCTTTGTGTGATATTTTGATCTTATTGCAAAACGTGCCAATAACTGTCATCAGCTTGTACTTTGTGATTGTTGAAGAATGATGGTATCAACCAATTGTGCAATGCGATTATTCTGAGTGACAATTGTGCCGATTAAGCCCAACATATGAAGGTCTTGTGTTTTTTTTATATACATGTATGACCACTAGAGTACATAAATATCATTCCATGCATCATTTTTTGGTGAATGCGCAAACAACATGCACAACTGCTCCTGTTTCTGTTCATATGCACACAGATACACGTATGTGTAACTCCTGCATGCACATGTACATGTATGCCACGGAAGATTTGGCTTTAATACCTTTACTGAAACCAGTTTGGAACAGCAGAGTCTTTTAAAATAACTATCCAGTTGTGTTCAGAATTACATAAATACTTGGCAAAACCTGCAGTTTTAACACTTTAATTAGGAAATCTTCACACGATACATGGGAAGGAAGTTCCAGTTTTCTGTGTTAGATGTTCTTGGCACTGCATGGTGACTCAAAGCTTTCACGGATCATAGGTAGGCCCATTTTCTGCCCGATTTTTCACCTGTTTTGATGAAACAAATCTGGAAATGACAGACTAGGCCAAGCGTGTCCAAACATGTATGTAATTGCGAACACAACTGGACAGTTACATGAATGTACAAAGCTTTTGATGTTCCTGACCATTTCTGGTGGGCAGGGTTCTCCCACACTACACATTTGTGTATCGGCCCGATAGGCGAAATTCCTTTCCCGATCATCACTAATATAAAAAAATAATGCTTGATACCCATTTTTTGGCCCCAATATGCACGTTATTGGGCCTACCATTGCACAGCCAAAAGTACATGTAGGAAACAAAATGGGATACTGCACACACATTGTGTGAATGGATCTTTTTTGTGTATGGTTCCTCGTCTCCCTATTATATGATGAACCAAAAAAGATTTCTTCCCCAGGGACCACACTATTTCCATTGGTTTTTGGCATGAATGGATATTGTTTGAGTTGCCTAAACCACATGCCTCAACTACTTGTCAACGACAAAAGTCCCATGAAGAAAATGTGAAGTTTTCTGGAGGTTTCATTTGTGAAAATGGGTATTTTTTCAAATACATGCAGCATTTTGAAGGCTTTCTGTGACATCTACAGGAACAAGAAACTAGGTATCATTTTAAAAAAAATTGGATCAAAAATACCTTAAAAAGACTGAGGTTTACATCATGAGTGTGAGGCATTTGACTGTAGAGCAATAAAGTTCATTGTGATTGTCCAAGTGGCTGCCGCAGGGCCCTGCATGTGCAGGGCCTCACGGCAGACCCTGCATGCACGGCAGCCAGTCAACACACACAGTGGTCTGTGTATGGTAGCTTAGCATGTGCCACGTGCAATACACGGGCAGATATGGATTGCCTTTTGTGATTTTCTCCATGGTTGTCATGTGTTCACGGTTAGCACTAAGCACTTTTCCCAAAGAAATAACATGAATTATTCTCTGAAAACCTTTCTGACTTTTTCATCTCAATTTCAATGGAAAAAGGTACATTCAAACACAAATTTATGTGGTTTGAGAGAGATTTTGGCAGCTTTGCAGGTACATGTAAACATGTACATGAGATATGAACTTGACTTCACGACAAATTTCGATGCCCTGCATCTGAGCCTGACGTGCCTGACCTCCATACCATTGTTTTCCTTTCAAAAATTTGAAAAATTATGGGTATTGTAATAATGTTAAGTGCATTTACCTATACATGTAAGTTGAGTCGTGGCTGAGAAGAGATTTCTCTATGCTCAAGATTTTCCAAATGTCTCACTGTTCGTTCATAGTTGTGATTGACAGGGGGCACTAGTTTTTTAATTTCAAATGTTTTTCCCCCAATTCTTCACTGCAGGCATGTTTATAAATTCATCTAAACTTACATACATGTACATAATAAAATAAAACATTTGATGAATATGCATCAGCAAATATTAGATGTATGCCCTATAAGTGTAATGCACATCATGTACTGAAAACTTGAAAATTGCTGAATATTCTGCTCCAATATCAACTTCATTTTGCTTTAATTAGTACAGCAAATGACAATGACTTAAAAGACTGATCATAAATTAGAGGGAGGCAATCACACTGTCTCAACTTGCAAGAAATTTAAAAAATGAAACTTTGCAACACCTGCCAATCAAGAGATATGTCCATTTGAGATCATTTCACCTGAGATCATTCACCGGTGCCAACTTGTTTTTTCAATGTGGAAAATAACAAATCATTGGAAAAATCGAACATACCGGTAGCACTGAATTACTTTTAAATGTCATTTTCCATGGCTATTAACTCACAAAAAGCTCAGAAATGCTCTAGAATGCACTAGAGCATCTACATATAAAGTTCAAAATTTTTCGGGGCCCCTCAGAGAACAAGGACAGAAATCTCCCACACTTTGGAAAAATCCTGGGGAGAAAGCTGGGTGGGAGTATTAACCCTAACAGTACCAGCTTAGAGTACTCAGCACTACAAAATACTATGTAACATTCTGAGGCTGAAGGACCTAGCGCTACAAATTACTATTTCTGGCTAGGTTTATCCCATTGTTACTTGTACAGACAACAATGAGACCATGCATTCATAGTGCCACAGCATTGTATGGTACATTGTCTTTCCTATTGTATTTTATGACTTCAGAGAATAATAATGTCATGTCTTCTTACAAGCGACAGGGCTGAGTACTACATTTACTACTAAGTAGCACTTTATAGCATTCGGGACTGTTAGGGTTAATGAAAAACCTGCTCTCCCTGTACAAACATAACTGTCATTGGTTGATTCCGTAAAGTATGGGCTGCCATTGCTAATTCATTGATCTCAGTTATCCTGTATCCACATCGTTACATACATGTAGCCTACTTAATCTTGGGATATTGTACACATTAAATTCAGAAAGGGGTCTATTAAATGTACATGTACTTACCAGTGCAATACAAGTCTTCTGTCACGTATTGTTTGAAAGAGAAAAGGGGGCTATTCCTCTCTTGCATTCGGCAACCGCGTGTGCATGTGATGTGCTACTACACACCGTGGAACGTGTGCTGTGCTGAGCAAGTGTACTTGCCCCATGTAGGCCTACATGTACATGTATATGTACATTGTACATGGCGGATCGGAGTGTGGATACCGCACAAACTGTCAGCTGAGGGCAAAGGTTACCATGTACAGTCCACAGGGTCAGCTACATGTAGTGAAAATTGTTGCAAATAATCATAGAATACATCACGATATAAGTTATAACTTCACATACTTGCAACTTCACCATAAATTCTGCTAACCTAAATGTAGTGCTCACCAGTGTCTACATGTATGTGCAGAATAACATTGATTTATCATGATTTATCAAAGTATTTTGACTTAAATAAATATTATTGAATGACGTCATGATGACGAAGTTTCATAGATATGATCAGGGAGATCAACACAGCAAATCTGGTATCAATCTGATATGTCAATCAAAAATTGCATTTTTGATGACGTCATCATGAGTTCAAACAATTTTCCAAACATCCAACACATTTACTGGGCCTACCCATGGTCTTGCCAAAATATGTCAAAAATACCTTGTTTCATTCAGAAAATACACTGAAAAGAATGTCACAAATCTGAAAAATGAAAAGATCTTAAAAATCGTGTGATGTCAATTTTTACATATGACACATCTTGATTTATGTCTGTACCAAGTTTGAACCCAGTTGGACCAATGGTTCTGGAGATATATGTGTATGTGTGCCTGCAAAGAAATCAATATTGAGGGCTTCAAGACAGGTTTTTGCTTGAGTCAACATTGATGAAGATACAGTACGGACTTGCAAACTGGCTGAAGTCGTGGATAGAAAAACCCTGTACAAAATGAATGGGATTTTGGAAGAAAAACATGGACAAAAATGTGAAAAAGGAGCCAAAACAAAAACAAACAAACAAAAATAGAATGAAAAAAATTTATGAAAAACAACAGCTGGTTGGGCCGGTGCCTGAAAGAACTAAAAATAAAAAGGGAACAACTAAAATAACAAGAAAATAAAACCTTAATTCACAAAACAAAAGCTGTTTCATCATATTTTGATGGTTTTTGGTTTTATGCTAATGTTATTTGCATATTCATGAGCAAAACTATGATGTCATCCAAGGCACTGAATCTCAATGTTGCACTGATTTGTGCGCAGAAAATTTCTAGATTTTTTTTACCACTGCTGCGGCAGATTTTATTTTCTTTGGCAATTTATTGCTGTCTAAGTATATGGCAATAATCCAGCAAAAATTCTTTGCACAGAAATGTTCCCAGATAGCAAATTTGGGGTTCACAATTTGAACATAAAAACATGCAACCTGAACCATGTCTTCCTGGATTTACATCAAGGCAAAAGCGCCCTCACTTGTTCAGAAATGCTTGGTAAATTATCAATGTTTGAAAAAGTGCACCATTTAGTTCACGTAACTCAAAAAAAGATGTCAAACAGTCTTCACACATGGAAGAAGAGTACAGAGATACACAAAAAGTGATTCTCGGATAAATTCATTTTCCGGTTCCTTTAACATTTCCCCGATGCACAGTACATGTACCAGTAAATCTTGAATTAGTTTGCAGTACCCGTTGCTGAATCTGACCCTGACCGGCAGTGGTTACACTGTGTGCACTAGTAACGGGGGGGGGGGTTGTGGGTTTGAGTCCCGCCCAAATAAAGGCCAGTTCATACTTTGCACAAAAACAAAAATAAATGCTAATTTGCTGTTCGCTGCAAATACTGCTGTTCAACTCGAGCCAAATTTCACAGCAAATTTTTCATGACATCGAATGAGCTTTGCTTTTACCTGAAGTATGAACCAGCCTGGAGCTTGTGAATTTTTTTTTTAAGTGCTCAGCAGTAAACAGTGTTAATGAATATATGTCAGAGTAATTAAAATTGCTCTGGTTCCTGTTTTCAATGGACAATGCACAAGACGAGTGTAAAACAAGTAGACTAGACTTACACTTACAATAAAGGCCTCTCACCCATAATATCATGGGCATTGATTACCTTTCGTACCCTGCTCCTATAAAAAGGAAACAAAGTCCACTTTCTCAAACTAACATTTTGACCTTAAGGAACCATTACTCAATCCTGATAGACCTAGTTTATTAATTTTGACAATATTTAAGCAAGAAACTTCAAATAGGTAGGTTCATGCAAGCCACCACTGCAGGTGCCCTATATGACACCGCGCGCGTGTACATGAAGTTGTGTCGGCATCACAATATCCGTGTCACTTACCTAACAGGACCATTTGCACACCTTGCGGAATAATATGTTTTTCTTTGACTGTAAAGCGGTCCAGTCCTGCAATCCACCATTTTGGTTTATTCATAAGTTTGTGTGCCATTGTGCGTGATCAGTGACCGGCTTGGAAAGTTTTTCCCATGCCAAAATTGAAATCGTTTGAAGTCCTGTTTTCGAGGATTTTGGTTCAACGTTCAGCTGCAAGGTACGTAATTAAAACATCATTTTATCAACTGAAAACTATGAAAAACAGAAACTAGATGTCGTTATTGTGCTAAAAAAGCATCATTTTGAATTGCAGCAACACTTGCACTTTTGTGATAAATGTCGGAAATTGCAAATGCCGTGCCAATGGGCAAAGCAAGTGGCAGGATGGTGGTTAGCCGTGCCGATCCCGATGGGCAAGACCCAGCGATCAAGGTCGCCATTTCTATCATATTTTACATTTTTGGGCACGTTTCAGTGTTGTAGTCGAGACCTTTATGTCCGAGACCGAGACCAAGGCATTCGAGACCGAAACCGAGACCAGCTCTTTCAAGACCGAGACCAGAACTTCGAGACCGAGACTTTTGCAGTTCGAGACCGAGACTGAGACCAAAATAAGATATCCAACACTTGGAGACTCTGTTACACCTCGCGCCATGGAGTGCTTTCATGGACGATCGTGATCCTGAGGCATCCTGGGA